TCATCCCTTGATTATTCCAAATCCAATCCATGGGTTTTTTCTGAGAAGAAAAGAAAAGAAATTCACGGGTGAAAGTTATTTTGCATGTATATTTCTTTCGAAATCTTTAATCAATTAAGTGATAATCAATTACTCTTTTTAGTTTCTATTATAAGACATCATCTCTGACCTCTTCATTGTAATTAGTAAAAATGATTAAATTATTAACCTTGTTTGAAAAAAATAAAATTTCAAATTTTTTCATATTTAAGTGAAAAAATAAATTTATAGGGAAAAACTATTTTTAGTCCCTACACCTTACTAGATTTTAGTATAGGTCTCTACAATTTATTTTTTGTATTTCAAGTTCCTACACCTTCTTTCGTCTACAATATTAGTTTTATATTTTTAGAAGAATGTTAGCATAGCTCAAACGGTATTAATAATGCTGATGTATCAATTAACATTATCAATTTGGTGCTTATATGTCAAATTGATGTTGGCATAAAAATTTTTAATAAATAAAAATTTTAAAAAAATATATATTGGATGAAATAAAAAAGCCAACCCAGACTCCTTAAATGATAGGCAAAATGCACAAATTTTATATAGGCTTATTTTTTTAAAAAAAATCATATTAAAATTTTCATATTAGTATCAAATTGACATATAACCACAAAATTAACATTCTTAATTGATATTTTAATATTATTAATATTGTTCATGCTACGTTAATATCTCTCTAAAAATGTAAAGATTAATGTTGTAAACGGAAAAAAGTATAAAAGATTAAAAACAGTGTTTTCTCAAATATATATTACATTTTCACTTGTGGTTGATAAAGTTTAAACATACATGAATAATATTAAAAAATATAATTAATGTTTCAGTATTTTATATTAAAAATTATTAATCTCTTTTAAAATATGTCTTGTAATAAAAACTGAAATATAGTCTTAACATCCCCTCGGCTGAGAGGATGAAGAAGTAACCCTAGCTTATTTCGAAGAGGCTAGAAACAAGTACGTGTAGGGGCTTTAGTCATACGATCAGCCAGCTAATCAGCCGAGGGAAATGAGTATAACCAACGGCTGGCACTAGCTTGCATGCCGAGTCTCGATCTCAAGCAAAATGAGCATCGAATTATTCTAGGTGCTTGGGATAGCAAATTGCTTGCCAGTACTTGATTATTGATACATTATCGCACCACACTCGAGGAACACGAGTAAGAGGGAGTTGAATTTCACTGAATCCACGTAAACATAAGTTTAATTAAATCAAAGAATATCTAAAACTTCAATTCCATTCTCTTTGACCTGGAATGAAAGTCATTTCGACAATAATCCATAAACGAAATTTTTTCTCTCATAAATATATATATATATATATATATATTATTTTTTCTTTTATTCATAATCCCAATTTATAATAATTTTGAAGAAGGTCATAAGTTGATAATAAATACAAGAAATTCTGCAATTTAATAAATATAAGGGGTAAAATAAGATTTTTTTTTTACAAACACTAGTTTGTTTATATTTTGGTCAATCAATATTAGCTGAAAAAAACTACTTGTATTTTCAAAATGAAGAAGCATGTGAGAATAAGAGGTAGCATGATGCTTTTTATTGGGTTCTATGAAACAAGAGAATTGCCAAAGAACACACAGTATCTTCCAACATATTTTTCATCATTTTTATTCCATTGTTCATAATCCCTTTAATTTGATCCGTCTGTCGTGTTAGTTCTTGTAGTTTTTAGAATATACATAATGACTATGACTGTCTTTGAAAGAGTTAATTTTATTGTAACTCTACTAATCCATTTACTAACATATGATAAAATATGCTGACTTGGAAATAAATTGACAATGTATGATTAAAAATGAAAGATGAGAGGGAAAAAAGCTTCATTGTATTTTTTTTATTTAATTGCCTGATGTTTTGAAAAATCTAGGGGTATTAATTATCACCTCCTATTCAAATTAATTATAACTCTTGCCATGTGAAACTTCATTTATTATCAACGACAATTTCATAAGTATCTCAAGGATGTCTTTGATATTGGATTAAACTTGTACAAGGCAAATACAATATTTAGTACATATCAACAATACAGGGTTAACAAAGTTTGCATCATATTAGCAAAATTAATTTTGTTGGTGCCAGCTTATATATGAATCTCATATACATTTTTATAACTACTGGGATTAACGTTGTAGACGATCAAACTATCGGGAACAACAGGCAAAAATTATTGGAATTAAAAACATAATTCAATTAAATTACGTATACTATATATAACTATATTTTCATTTTAATTAAATGCTACTCATGAGCGCGCCCCGCTTTTCCCATTATCCATTATTTTGTGATTGATTGCATCGCACACTCGCACAGTAATCATCATAGTAGTAGGAAGGTTAATGTGGAGCACGTTCCTGTGAACCCCATACACTAAGAATTAGTCCTGCATAATAAGCCTCTATAAAAGGGCTAATACAAGTATAACTGGTGGCTTAAAAAAGTTGTTACTATGATTCAACCCAAAAAAAAAAAAACATTGTTACTATGACGAGGTTGAGACATCAAGACACTCCACTTTACAAGCGAGTAGGAGACATGTGTGTCTAAATTAAAAAAATTTCACAATTAAAGTTAGTAAATTGAGGTTGAAAAAAAAGTTTATGGCTTTAATGTAATTTATATCTAGATTTTTTTTAAAGTTAGTTAGACAAATTAAAACTATTGTTTGGATGAATTGATTTAAAATCTATTTGAAGTATATAATAACAAAAAGGGACATGATTTTTTTTGTATATATTTTTTTATTAATTTTTGATGTTTTTAAAAAGTATATTACAAATGCAAAAACAAGTAATTGATTTTTTTAGATAATTTGATTTAAAAGTTAGTTTAGATAGTGTACAGTGATAAAAATGAACATGAATTTTATTATATATACATTATTTGAACCATTTAATGTTTTTAGGAAAAATAATAAAATTTTATGAATGAATAAAGGGGCATGAATTTTTTGATAAATATTTAAAAAAAACATTGAACTTTGAATTATATTTTTTTAAAAAAAGCCTATGTTTTCATCAAGCTTGTTTTGGTATTTTCTAAATATAAGCTATTTCCTGAAAACAAAAAAAAAAGGCATTCTTTTGCATCTAATTTGGAGCTTTCTTGTCAAATCATATAACTTGTTAAAATTTTTAAAAATTAGAAAACAGTCAAAAATACTATTTTTTGAAAGCTTTTGTTTTTTAAAATAAATTTAACACCTCCGTCAGTCATAATGAATCAAAAGCCAACCTTTTTTTATCTTTTGGCAGAAGAAAGAAATAATTTAAACAGATAGAGTGATAGACTTGAGAACCCATCCCCTCCCCTCTCTCTACTCTGTCCGATACAGCAGCCAGAAGAAAGTGGTGAGTAACACAGTCCCAACACAAGAAATAGGACAATGCAGTATGGATGGCGAGCAACATAGACCACGGAAGACAAGATGCAAGACCTTGTTGGATGAGGACGGCAACGAGTCATTGGCGGCAACGAGAAGAAGGAGGCGAAGAGCTTCTGAAGACTGAAGGTAAAGCAAGGTGACGAGAGGGGTCAAGAAGTTTGTGACTTGCGAAGATAAACAAGAAAGAGAATGCCCCAACGTCTACCCGCCTACCGCGTGGTGAGAAGCTACTTCAACCAGCTTTAGCCAAAACGGTGGTTGCTCCTCCATGGAGCTTTTAGTTTTTTTTTTTTTTTAAATCCAAATGAGATCTGAAATCACGCAATGGGCCTTTTGCCCCCCGAGTCCCCAATCTAGGTTAGGAGCCCCTAAAAGCTCGTTTAACAATAATCAAAACATAGCCTAAGTCGGAGACTGCATGAGGCAAGGAGGCAGATTTATGATGACTCAAGCCAAAGCAAGCGCACTGCTGCATCCATAAAATGCAGCCCCCCCTTCGTCAATCACAAAGCAATAGACCCGCATGATATATTGCTTAGCCATCAAGGACTCTGTTTTAGATTGCGGGTAGTTTTCTGTATTGCGTGTCTCTTAAAATATTACAATATCAGAATAACATGTTCTCATGATTAAAAAAGAATAATATGTTCTGATGTTCCTGCTCGTACTATAAAAGTCCTATTAACTAAAGCACTCAATTGGTAAATTATAATTTTAAAAATAATAAAAATCACTATTAATAAAACAACAGGCAACAGCACGAAAACGTGAAAAGTATATCAGGCTCTCAAGAATAATCATATTCTTGTAACATTTATAACGCACTAAAAGCAAAAAATGCCATGTCTAAGAATATTCTCTTGTTTTAGGCCAAGCTAAAATAATGGTCCTGGCATCCTGAAAAATGACAAATTTCACCTAGAAGACCAATTACGACATAAGCGTTTCAGGTCATCTAGCCTGCACAGCAGAGCGCATCTTAACAAATCTATTATAGGCAGACCGTCTAGACTCAGGATGCAAATCATCATATACTAATCACACAATAAGTAATCAAGCTTACAAAATATTATCTAATGGAGAAATTTCAGGAACAGGTCCCGGTCCCTACCTAATGTGAAAATAATCCTTAAACGGATCCAGTCAACCCCGTTTCGCAGAAGAAACAAGAAAGTCTTTCATCGCGTAGAGTGCGTCAATCGGGGGTTGCACGTGGAGAGATTTCATACGTAGACCTCAAGCTGGCGTGGCGGACCTCTGCGCTGGAGCACGTACATGCCCACAAATTACAAAGAGCGAAGGATAGTGAGAAAGGAACAAGCCGTCCAAAACAGGCACGCACGCACAGAGAAACGGAGATGGAGAGAGAAAAACTTTATTATTATTATTATTGTTATTGTTATTATTATTTTTGGTTAAAAAGTAAAAAACTATGAGTTTTTATTATTGTTATGAAATATTTTTTATTGTTTAACAGCAGTCAGCGTTCGATTTCGTTTAGCTCCCGCCCCTGATGTTTTAGGGTTGAGAATTGGAGAAAAGTCAGACAAACATTAAACGATTAAACGCACTATTCATAAAGAAGACTTGCGGAAGGAAAACAGAGGAAGACCAAAAGCCCGTAGCGAAACACCGATCTCTTACACGCAAAAGAACTAAAATGGAAATCGGAACATTTACAATTTAGTAGATCTTGCTGCTTTCAACGTTGTGGCCATTTTTGATCGGCCTTGTTGAGTGCATTTCCAGCTGTAATTACGGGTTTTTTAATACACATTTTTTTTTTGGTTTACCTGGATATTATTTTCCCCATCTGGTGGGAGGAAACCGGAGGCCAGACATTCGGGAAAGAGGTTTTGTCCTGTAGATTGTTGTGGCAGGGGTTGGATCTGGTGAAACTTCATCGGATGAGAAAAGTCTGCATATGTTTCAAGGATCAAGAGGGAAAACGATGAAATGGACTTCATTGCTTAAGGACATCAAAGAGAAGGTTGGCCTCACTCCACCGCCTTCTTCTGCTTCTGCTACTTCTTCTGCTTCTTCATCGGCTTTCACCTCGTCATCTCGCGATAGCAATGTCATTTCAGCTTGGCAAACCTTGGGTTCATCTCCTGCCAGGTTCAATATATTTCATCTATTTCTCTTCTATGCTTGTTCCCCTTTTAATTAACTCGGACCTTTTGGCTTAAAATATAAGATGGCTTTGCTTTGTTATAGACTTATAGTGTGATGATTTGAGTACTGCATTGCATTGGCTTTGATTTGCTTGCGAAAGCTGAGAGGAAAAAAAAAATGTAGCTCGGCCATGTTGACCATTTCATCTTAACTAGCAAAATGCAGTTAGATACGTCGATTACGGCAAATAAACAAATCACAATATTCCTTTATTAGTTTCTACGAGGACACTCCTATTTCCCAGGGTTGTCAACACTACGTTAAAAGGTTTTTTCTGAGCTAGAAAAGCTCATTACTCGTTTCTTAGGTCCCATAGACAGGGAGCTTGATGGGTTACATATATCCTCGGGCTCTCGTCCCTGGCGGGTACCTCTCTCCATGTTTTTGAAGCGGGCATGATCTTATTTTGGCACCGTTATAGTTATATTAAGACGTTCATGATGTTGCCTGACTCTAATTTCCGTTTAACTCATCTCCATGACTTCTGACGTTACTATGTTGTCAGGGAGTGGAGAATGATCTTCATTAATATTGGCACGATTTTAATTTTGCACAGTTGCACTACAAATACAACGGTTATTTTTAGTTACGGAACCATAGTCTTTATGGGGAGTAAAGTCTACATCATATACTAGCTCAACTGTGAACTAATAAATTAGGCTTAAAATATGGTGGCAGTGGGCTTATCTGCTCAATCTGCTGCTGCTGAATATGGTCATATTTATTGATTATTGATTAGCACGTATAGAATGAGCAAATGATCGAAATATTAAATGAAGATACATAAATAATTAAATTCACAAATCCATTACTTTAGAAGAGGTCTCGTTTTTATGTTGTATCTTCATTGAAATTGTTTATTAACTTTCTTTAGCTTGATGTCTCTGATTTCAAATTTTTGATACAGTTGTTTAATGATTGATAAATACTGATTCTTAAGAATTGCCTTTTTATAACATCCCTTGCCTATGTTGTAATTATGACATTTTCATGATTTTAAATCAGGGACAGACATGAACTGGAATTGGACTTCAAGAGATATTGGGAAGAGTTTCGGGCATCCACCTCTGAGAAGGTTCTTTCTTGCTAATTTGTGTGGTCTCTCTTCTTTTAATTTTTCATAATGTCACCTGGAATGGTTGATTACTGATAAGCTATAAGTTGCTAATTTTCTTACATTTTCTTGCAGGAAAAAGAAGCGGCCTTGAATTTGACTATAGATGCATTTTGTAGATTAGTAAAGCAGCACACTAATGTAGCTCAATTAGTTTCCATGTAAATATACAATTTCATCTCATCTCTACTCCTTTATCACGTGCGTTAATTTATTTGCAATAGCATAGTTGGGAAGAGATGGCTTATTGCTAAGGTTGCATTGTCTTTGAAATGGAGATATGCTTTATGTTAGGCTCTGCTTTTGGATAAAAGAATAAATGTTATTGGATTAAAGAACCTTCTCCTTAGCCCAGATACAAAAAGAAACAAAGAAAAGACAAACTGAAACTTGTATACATGGCTTTCTAAACCAGCCACCAAAGAAAGAAACTTTTTTCCTTTGCTTAATCACATGTTTTGATTTCTGTATATAGATGCTATTTTTTGTTGAGGAAGATGAAGATGTCATGGTATTTTGTTTTTTGAGTATAGATGATTGTGAAATGTGCCTCAAATAAGGTCAAGAGCTTGTTCATGGCTTCCCATTTTCTTCGAGCAAAGAGTTTTAAGACAATATTTTTCCTGCTTGAGGTTTTAAAATTTTAGTGAGGTAGCTGAGATATTATCTTACATGTTATTTTTTATGATTCATTGTGGTTTGTTTATTAACTGATTTTTAATAATGATGACTTACAGGTTAGTTGAAACACATATATTCTTATTTGTTGTTGGAAGAGCATTTGTAACAGATATAGAGAAGTTAAAAATGAGCAGCAAAACAAGATATCTGGATGAAGCTCAAGTTTTAAAGTTTTTCTCTGAAGCCACAAAGGTTAAGCCTTGGATGTGTATTTTTTCATATGGCCATTGTTTTGCTGATTCTTTGATTTTTGAATTCTATTTGATTCACTTCTTGGCAGGATGGCATCAGTCCTGGATCAAATTTGTTAACTGCAGTGGAAGCCCTTGTATCTGGGGTATAATTCTTAAAAATTTTCTTGATATCAGTGATTTATTAGGGGATATATATATATATATATATATTATCTTGTTACTCTCTTGATAGCATCCATGTAGTTGCCTTGCTTGCTGACATCTCTTTTGTGTCTCGATAATCCCACTACAAATACAGCAGGCACTTTTTGCTCTGTGATACTTGGCTCATCAGTGGTTTTCTGTAAAATCTACACAGAAAAAAATGTTTACATGTTATGGATTAGAATCATCAGGTTTATGATGTATTATGAAGAGTGATTAGGGCTATATTCAACTATGATTTTTAACCTATGATGTGTCACATTTGTGTTATTCTCTATTCCTCTAATTTTTTCCTCTTGTTCTGCAAGAAGTTGTTCTTATGTGTATATTTTTTGCAGCCTACTGACAAGCAATCCCTGCTCGACTCTGGTATATTTTGCTGTCTCATTCATATTCTCCATGCCCTTCTAGATCCTGATGTAGCCATTCAACGGTCAAACATTACTATCGATCATGAAGTGTTGCAAAAAGGTTGTGATGGTGACATTGGGCAAGCCCGCCAGCTTGAGGTTTCTTTCTCTCCATGTTATTTGTATACACACACATGCGTGCCTGTTTTTGCATCTGCACAACCTGTAATTATGTTAGCATAAGGACTGATGGTCATAATTTGCAGAAAAATATTTATGGTTTTGTGCTACCTAATTTTAAATGGGCAGGCCTTTGATAGATATATTATATTATGCCCTGTATGGTTGCCAGAATATTTTTCCTGGGAATGTGAACTGTAATGGGTGATGGAAATGGGAATGGGTTTTGATTGAATAAATTAATTATATTTAGGCCTCTAATAAGAGGACACTTATGATCGATAAAAAATAATTATACTTGGTATGTTATATAATGCAATGAATTTTTAACTTCATAGATGCATTTGGTTGGATGGAATAATGTAAGAATGGAAAGGAAAGTTGATCAAATGCCTATAATGCCCCTGGTGTAATAATGTATTAAATTAGATTATCATTATTAATTAATTTTTTTATTAGTAACAGATCATTCTAGGCTATATTCTATGTATATCTAGTAAATCTAGAGGAATCCAAATGGCTTATGAACAGTACCAATCTAGCTTCTTTAGATTCTGTGACTTTGTGATTTTTTCTTCTGGTTTTATTTAACAAATATCTCTCTTATTTTTTTATACTACACATTATTAAAGCAAATTTTTGTTTTGCAGCACTTCCTCTCCCAATTATTTTTTAATCTTATTATTTGGTTTTGATTGTGCTTTTCCCTCAAAATTTTCAATTATTCAATCTTTTCTTCTATATAAGTCACATAATGAAAACATTTTTAAGCAGAAAAAAATCTTGCAGTTTTACTTATATATATAAATGTTGTAAATATTTTTTTATCATTTGAATTTGTAAGATATTTTTTTTTAATTGTCATTAACAAATTAATTAAAAATTTAATTACCACCAATAATAGAGTCTGCATTTTATTTCCAGATTGTTTCTGTGAACATGGATTCCCTTATTTTCTTATTAAGATAAAAAATAAGTCCAAAATCATTTCCATACTTGAGTGTGGTTGCCAAATTGAGCTTCGCTCTCCTCCTAAATGATGACCGAACAAGTGTGCATCTAGAGATTTAGTTTGCCACGATAAAGAAGGTTTCTGTTTGCATGATGGCTTTTTGGTAATTTTGCTTGTTTATGAGCGTTACAATGATAATTTTAACTTACATTCCCAGGAATGAGGTCCTTTCCATCATAGGATGATAGGACTCATTATTCCACATGTGGGAATGAGTTTTCTGGCTTCTGTTCCATTGAGCCCAAGCAAACATTGCCTCAATTCTATCCCCATTTCCTATCTCACCTCAACAATGTAAATTACAGCCAAGCAAATGAGACTTGAATTTCAATGGGAAAATTTACCCTTAATTGTTCTATTGCTAATCTTTATATGGCTGTCCAAACCTTTGATAAAGAAACCGGGCATCAAAATTATGGTCCTTGCCTATAATTGGGATCTTCCAAGGTTATATTTATCTTCTTGATTTATTTTCATTTGTACTACTTTACTTGTGCAGATAGCGGAAGTGTTGTGCATATTATGAAAGCACTTGCAAGCCATCCATCAGCAGCGCAGAGTTTGATAGAGGATAATTCACTTCAGTTGCTCTTTCAAATGGTTGCAAAAGGGTCATTGCTAGTTTTCTTGCATTACAAGAAGGACTTGTTCCATACACAGCATACAACTTCATAGACATGCCATGCAGGTAAAGGAAAGTACACGTGCATGCAATTAAAACCGTTAGAAATATGTGATAATATTTCTTGGATGAGTAGGTTGAGCTGATTTTGTGCCTCTGATGGTTTAATATTCATGTTGCTGCTGTTATATATACTTAGATACTGGGTCTACTTTTGGTCAATGACAATGGAAGCACTGCTAAATACATCCGCAAGCATCATCTGGTATGTTCTTAGCTTTCAAATCTTAACTATCTATTGTAAGTCAAATAACTTGTATACAGTGTGATCTTAGACTTTTGTTCATATTTCATTATCATTCAGTTGATGTTCAACTCAACCACTTAATAATATGCCAGTGTTAACAGGCATTAAATGGTTGAGGATGTTTTTTATTTATTTTTTCAATTCTTTCAGGATGGGAATTTAATGTTATCTTTCATGTATTGACTGTAAATCTGTCAATCTTGGGATGAGATTTGTGGCAAGAGGGAATCTTCACTGCCCTTTTTTCATTGTTGAATGAAGAGAACATGTATATGAAATTATCAGAGATGGAACCTTTGCAAGAATTTATGTAACATGATTCCGCTTGTACTGTGTTCAAGAGCTGCTGCTGCTATTATTTCTTGATGAAAAGAAATCCAGTCTACAAATTTATCAGGGATTGAATCCTGACAAGGCTGTTTGTAACATTGTCATTGCTCTGTGTGCTATAGTAGATGGACACATTTACTAGTCATAATAATAATGAAGTTCAAAGATTTGGTACTTGAATTTCGTGTTGTTTAACAAAAGCGAAGACAGTCGGTGTCAA